GGGGTCTGGAGACCCCTCCCACAGCCGAACCTTATCGGGGTCTGGAGACCCCGATTACAGCATGCGCGCGCCTCGCCTTACGCCCCGAACTGCCGCAGCACCATGTCGAACACATCGACATCGGCAGTCGGCTGTTCGATGAACGTCCCCTTGCGGCTGGAGAGCAGCACGCCGCGTTGGGCGTCGCTGCGCGGCGGGGCGCCGTGCGAGCCCTTCACCCGCAGCGGATCGAGCGGCACGCCGCCGCCGTGCTGCTGCATCGCGACCGTGTCCCAGAACTGCTCGCACGGGTCGTAGCCCGGCTTCTGGTGGATATCAACTTGCCGGGCGAACCGCGGCGCGAGCGCGTCGTCACGCCACCAGTAGTAAGCCTGCCAACTATGCGGCTCGCTAACCAGCAAGAGGTCGCCCGAACGCTCGTGGCCGACTCCCTGGCGGGATTGTTCCTCGGCGTCCCAAACCGCGGCGATCCCTTCGAGTTTGCCGAGCGCGTCGCCCGCTTGAGCGATCACCGCCGCGTCGCGGTCGCGGACGAAGACATGCCCCACCTGATGGTCCACCATCACCCAAGCCCGGCTCGCCGCGAAGTCGAGCCGTTCGCGCCCGTCCTCGTCCAGCCGTACTTCCAGCAGCCCCGCGTCGCGCAACGCGCGATTGGGGTAACTGGCGTGCGAGACCTCGCTGATCGCATACTCCGAAGCCACGAGCCACAGCGGCTCGCCGCTTAGCGCCGTCTGCACGCCATCGACGAGTCGCCCAATCTCACCATCAAGTTCCTCCAAGGCCGCAATCGCCTGCGGCGAATCGGGCCCGAACTTCTGCGCCGCGTAATCGAGGTGCGGCAAGTAGACGTAAACAAAGTTCGGCTGCTCACGCTCCAGCAGCCACAAGAGCGACGACACGATCCAACGGCTCCCCTGGATGTTCGCCATCGGCCCCCAGAAGTGCTGCAGCGGGAAGTGGCCCAGCTCGGGCAGCAGGTCGGCGTACAACGGCTCGGGCCGGGTGTAACACCACAGCGACTCGCTGCCGTCCTCGTTGTGCTTCGGGGCGGGCGTGCAAACGAAGTCCGCCGCACAGCCTTTAACGAGCAGGGGGAACCAAACGGCGCTGGTGAGCGAAGCGTCGTGGTCCTTGAGCCGATCCCAGATGCGCGGCCGCTGCACCACGTCGGCCCAAGCGGTCCACATCTCGACGCCGTCGTGCGCGCCACGCCCGTCGCGCCAGTAAAAGCCGTTGGCGACAACGCCATGCTCCGCGGGCGGCTGCCCCGTCGTCATGTTGGCCTGCACCGGCAGCGTCACCGCCGGCACGCTCGCCACGAGCGGCGCCCGATCGCCCGCCGCGGTAAGCGCGCTCAGCCGTGGCATGTGCTCAAGGTCGCGCTCACGCAGACCGGGAACGGACAACAGAAAAACGTGGTCGGCCATGCTCAATGGGATTCAGTTATTCACCACAAAGGAACTAAGGAACGAAGGAAATCAAATAATGAAACGCCTTCGTCGTCCTCCTTTGTTCCTTCGTTCCTTCGTGGTTCAAAANNTTCCTTCGTTCCTTTGTGGTTAATCAAAAGAGGTAAGGAAGTCGTAAGCCGCGCGGGCGACGCGCGGGGCGTCGTGGCTGTGGCGGCTGAGCTCGACGCATGCCGGGCCCGTGTAGGTGATTCGCTTGAGGGCCGCCATCACTTCGGTGAAGTTGATCTCGCCTTCGCCGAAAGGCAGGTGCTCGTGGACGCCGGCGCGCATGTCTTCGAGGTGGACGTTCGCCAGGTCGGCGGCGTGCCGCTCGATCTCGTCGGCGAGCGGCGTCTCGCCGTTGCAGTGCAGGTGCCCGATGTCGATCGTCAACCGCAGCGNNACGCCGCTAGCGGCTAAGCGTTCCTTCAACTCACGGTAATCGGCAAGCGTCGCGACAAACATCCCCGGCTCGGGCTCGAAGGCGACCGGCATCGCGCACCGATGGGCGTGCTCCAGCACCGGCTTCATCCCCGCGACGAGCCGCTCCCAAGCTTCGCCCGCCGGCGCGTCATCACGCAAGACGCCCGACCAGAGCGAGACGCACACGGCGCCCAGCTCCTGAGCGACATCGATCGCTTGCTCATAAAACGCCACCCGCGACGCCCGCTTGTCGGCGTCGGTGGAGACGAGCGTCGGCTCGTGCTTCGTCCACGGGTCGAGCAAGTAGCGTCCCCCCGTTTCAACGACGAGCGTCAGCCCGAGCTTCTTCGCCACCCGCCGCAAACGTCCCGCTTGATCGCCGAGCGCCGCGTCGCGCGGATTGAGCACACCGTGATCGATCGTCAGCGCGATCGCGCGATAGCCGATCGCAGCAAGCACCTCCATCGCGTCCTGCGGCGCGTGGTGGGCGAAGCCGTTGGTGTTGTAGCCGAGGATCAAGAGAGAAGGGACGAGGTGCTAGGGACGGGGGACTAGGGGCTGGCTAGCCGGGAGCGTTAGCGACCGGAGTGAATCACCAATCGGCTTTCTATTGGGTGCATACGTCACGTCTGCGGAATCCACCGCGCAAGCAGCATCGTAACCGGCAGCAGCGCGAGAATCGCCAGCCCCGCGACCGGCCCCGCGTAAAGCGTCGCCAGCGTCGCGTCGATGACAACGAGCCCCTGGATAGCGATGCCAACGCCGCGGCCGATGTTTCTGGGCGTGGGTTGGAGGATGCCGGCGACCATGCCGCGCGTTGCGATGAGAGTTGCAGCGATCCAGAAGATGGCCCAAGTTGTCGGCTGATGATTGTTGGGAATACCATCCGATAGCAGCGGCGAGAAGCCAAGAATGCCAACACCGGCTAAGCACAGAGTGAGGCCGATATCCAATACTCCTCTACGTTTAGCATGTGCCTCATCGCGCGCGAAAACCGTCAGACCGATAACGTAGAGCAAGATGCCGGCGCTGATGGGCCGCATTATTGCGGCGTAAGCGAGTGGATTGGCGGCTGCTCCCACGATTGCGCCGAGGGAGACATTGCAGACCCGACACATCCCCATGAAGAGCGGCCCCAGGAGGGTGCGCTTCAATTTAGAGTTGTAGAACCGCACACACACAGCCAGCATAGCAGCCATGACGAACGGGCCTGGGTTATCGACAAGGCTGACTGCTATTGCGGCTAGTGTTAATGCAAAGACCATCAAGGCATTGGCGATCGCATAAGCCGTGGAACGTGAAATCAGCCCGAACTCGATAGGCCGACCGCGACG